AATGAGGGGAGAAGGAAGAAAAGCTAGGATGTTGTCAATGGCCTTGGACGAGGGACATTAACACAGCAAGGTGAGCAAGACCAGAGAGGAGCAGCCACTGTGGACTTAGGTTGCGAACTAACTCTGGGGAGTTACTAATAATATAATAGAAAAAGTATAGCCATAAAGCTGCAGAACCAAAAAGTCCTGTTAGTAGAGTAAGACCTTTGGTTCCTCCCAGCTATTATTGAAACTCTGCCTTGGAATTGACAGAAAGAGATACAGGCCTTAGAGGTTTCTTTACCATTTTTAGGACAATTATTTCAGTATCGACAATCATTTAAGAGACAGCACATACAAGAATCCTTACCCCTGAAATATGAATGTTGCTGGCATGAATGTTCTCTCTTTACCTTATTTAAGAAATATGTTGTTTAATTCCTAACTGAAATGGCTCTCTCCCATGGAACATTCAGCTTCCCGAGTCAGGGCATACTGCCTGAGCTTCAGCAATAGCAACACAGATTTCCTAGTTCACTATATCTGAGTGGTGCCTTTGTGATAAAGATGTACTTGCAGAAAGACAAAGTTGTATTAATGAAGTTGGAAACCGCAGAGCAGTAGAAAATTAGAAAAATATTTCAGAACAATATACGGTATTAAAAAACAAGATAAGTCAGAGGCTTGAAATCTCAATATTTCAATAATAATATAATATTTTATGTAGCACTTTACAAATTACAAAACGTTTAACTACACATTTTCTCAATTTTATAGGTAAGCAAGCAGACTTAGAAAATTTTGGTAATTTGTCCAAGGTACTATGACCAAAATATTGTAAAAAGAAGAATTAAATGCAGATGTTTTAACTCAATGTCCAGGGTTCTTTCCCATATGACTGCTGCCTCTTCTGAGCTTTAAGAGATTTCATGAGTTTTCTCATTTGTTTGTGCTTTCATTCAACAACTATCCATTGCGTATCTCCTGTGTGCCAGTCATTATCCCAGGTACTGATGATGCTGTGGTCAACAAGTGGTCTGCCTTCATAGCAAGCCTACGGTCTAACAAAAGACAGAGGCATGTAATGCAAACTGGCCATGATGAAACAGTGAGGTGTGTATTACAACAGCAGGAACATAGCAGGCTGTGGCCACATAAGAGAAAGGCATCTCACCAAACCATGAATCAGGAGGGGCTTCCCAGAGGGATTGATGTTTACACTGAATCCCCAAGGATAGGTAGAGAATTGAAGGAATAAAGAGTGTTCCAAAGCAAAAATAAAGCAAAAATATGTGAAGGCACTCCTAAGGGAGAGATGACCCTAGATCAGCTTCAAAATAAGGAAAGAACCAATGGATTTACAAATTCAACTAGCTGTGCACGTTTCTACTATTTGGCTAGCTGGAGACATTATCCATTCATCCATCCATCCATCCTTCCATCCATTCTCCCTCCCACTT